TGTAAATAGAAACAAAGATTTAAGGCAAAATATGTGGGCATTGTTCCTCTCATTCATTTTGTGAGAAAGTAGCCAGCTCCTGCCTTTGAGTGTTTTTAGCCAATGGATGAAGTAAAAGCAATGATTAAAATTTCCTACCTAATATGGTGAAGAGGAAGCTAGAGTGAAATAACCATTTTCTGGATTGTGTTGAGGAACTTCTAGCCCACTGGCTTAATTAGGCCAACCAGTTTGGCCCATTTGGCCCATAAGACTGCTGTGGCCAAGGCCTGCCCACATATCATAGATGATGTCTGGTGTGGAACAGAGAAAGAAGTGTCTTGGCATCTCCTGGCAGGGCTGGGAATGCCCCTTGTCTGAAACCTTGGAGTCATTACCCATCAGAGTCACCAATATTGAACTAGATGGACCAATGGTCTGACTTAGTATAAGGCACATTCCTATATTCCTACACTTTTACAAAAGGGACACAAACCTTTTGTTTCAAGTTATTTCAGATGCCTTCCACATTCTAGGCAATTGTGAGAGCATATATGTGGAAGGAATGCTCTTCCACAGGTTATGCTTCAACATCCATTTCCATTACCCTTTGCTTGAACTATTAGCATTATCTCCCAACATCCTTCTGACCTCTTCTGTCTAGACTTTCCCAGAGGTTGTGCCCTGCCTTACCAAACATCATTGCACTCACAGGAAATCAATACATGGGAGCTTCCAAACCAACTATTGAAATTCACTATATTATGCAAGCAAGGCTATTCCAACCTTAACAAAAGTTCAATTAGTCCAAAATGCAGCACCTTTTCCCCAGCCAGAAAGAAGCTTAAGAGAACATTAGTGTTCTGTTAGCACAGGGAGGGTGGGTTAGATATAAGGTCTGCATGCTACTCTTCAGGGTGCTGGATGACAGTAGTATTAAAGGTCATTTCTATTTCTGTGCTTGTGGCTTTCAAAAAGGCTCATTCCTCATAAGTTGGAAGCTGTCATCCTCCAAAAAAGGGGAAAAGAGTGCAATGGAAGCAAGGCTGTGGTTTTGGCACTCATTACCTGAGAAAATTAGGGTGTCATGCAGTCTTGCTGCTTCCTGGGTGAAATGTAAAACTCATTCCTTCATTTCAGGCATTTTCTTCCCAACTTCACAGTTTCTCTAGTGGCTTCCTTTTGGTGGTTCCCAAAGATGTCACTTTTGTATTGGGGAGGAAGAGAGGCTGGCAAATGAGTAACAAGGGTTTGCCAGATCAGATGAAGAACATAGGCTGGGGGCTTCCCAGCTTTAGTCAGCTTGGCCCACACCCTACAATGCAAGGGAATGTTTGCACATCAGGTTCAACACTGTATAATAATTTGGGAAATCTCCATGGGGAAAATTGTGACATTTCTACCAATAGACTCTTTTAAGGCTCAAGACCCTGATGCAGGCCAATGGCATACGGCAAAATGGATGGGAAATGACCAGTTATTTCCAGGATTGCAGGGGATAACAATGAATTTCCTCTGGGATCCTCTTCCCTGGAGTCTTTGCATGCAAAACAAACTCCAATAGCCACCAGCATGTTCCATATGTTTCTAAAATTGAGTGCATTATGGGTTTTCAAAATTAAGACCATGAAGACCCTCCAATCTGTCTCCTGTGCAATGAATAATTAGAGCTATTGAGTAGAACGTTCACAGAACAATAGAAGGTTCCTGAGCTCTAGCACAATTTATTTCATCTGCCTAGATCAGCCATTGGCTTCCCCTGACCAAGGAAGGGAATTTGCCTGAGTTGATACCACTATATCAGAAGCCTGGCATTTGATTGTCAGCTGATGGTGGTCCTCAGCTCTGAACTAAGTGGTAATCTATTATATCTGTACAGTTATTTTGCCCAGTACTAAATACGGATAAAGGTAGAGATGGATTGTTTTAATTTTTAATAGTAGCTCTTTAAATACAACAACATACAAAACATTTTCTCTGTGTTTTGCTCTTTCCAAAGTAAACTTGCGAAGAGAACTAAAATTGGGCAATAAGCATACGGCTTTCTTGTTTATCACATATTTCAAAGCTACTATTATTTTTAGATTTACAGACACTGTGGCATCTCTTTCATGGACACTTGGTAAATATAAACTTTCAGACTTGATTATCCCCCCTCCCTTAGCCCAATTAAAAGGTTTGCTGGTGTCTGTGGTTTTTATAATTAAATTTATGCAAAATATTACTTTACATCATTTCAAAAAAGAAGTTCTGGTGGATGTTTTTATATTTCCTCCTCACTTCTAGTAACAGCAATTAATGTTCATCTCACACATTCATTTCTCACTTAATGGTGTGTGTGTGCGCGCACACATGCATGCACGCACACACAGTTGAAGTAAGTAGACAACTTTAAAATAATCCAAAATATTATGAAAGTGGTGCCTAATGGCTTAGGCCATTACAGGCTCCTCCAGACATCCTTTTTTTTATTGTGCATCCATGATAATATGTGCTCATGACAATATCAGGGTAGTTATACACAATCTCTCTTTGTGCCTTCAGACAAGCTGGGGTGGAAATACTGCTTCATTTCTGATCTGTGCATGTCCCATGCATGTCCTAAAACCCTGCAACTTTTTATACCACAATGTCCCATTTATCCTGGTTCTGTAGTGCTACAGAGTGCCCCTCCAGACAGCAATAACACAATATGTGGATGGTCCTATATCTATCCCCTCCACTAATGCACCATTATGGCATCAATAACATGTTGCAAAATATACCCCCTCCCCTCCAAATGGCTAGGTTCTATCTCCACTGTTGGAGGCAGTAATTCTTATGAATACCTGTTGCTGGAAACAGCAGGAGGGATGAGTGCTGCTGTGCTATGGTCCTGTCTGTGGGCTTCCCATTATCATCTGGCTGGCCACTGTGAAAACAGGATCCTGGACTACATGTGCCATTGGCTTGATCCAGCAAACTACCATGTTCTTAATTCAATTGCTTCACTAAGAGTAGAAAGCCCTCTTTAGTAACAGGAGGGTTAAAAGCACGTAGTGACAGTGGCACAACACAATCCCTGCCCCAATGTCCAAGTGACTGGTGCCCAAGCATGGCCCTGGCAGCAAAATTTGTGGGTGCCTGGTGCTTTCATGGGGAATTTTGTGGGTGCTCAGGCACCCAGGGCCCCAGGGAGTTGGCACCTATGCCGTCAACTCTCAGACAAGAGTGTATTATGCGTTGAATCCCTAGCCGGAATTAAGATTGCGGAAGAAATATCAACAACCTCAGATATGCAGATGACACAACTTTGATGGTAGAAAATGGGGAGGAATTAAAGAAACTTTTAATGAGAGTGAAAGAGAAGAGCACAAAATATGGTCTGAAGCTCAACATCAAAAAAATTAAGATCATGGCCACTGGTCCCATCACCTCCTGGCAAATAGAAGGGGAAGAAATGGGGGCAGTGAGAGATTTTACTTTCTTGGGCTCCATGATCACTGCAGATGGTGTGTGCTGGTCCAGGGGGGAGATTACAGTGGGGCGAGGTCCAGGACCTGAGTTGAGGGTTGGCAGGCAGTCCTCCATGGGCGAAGCGGGGTCCACAGCGAGAAGCCGGGCGAGGACAAGAACTCTGGGGGAACAGGACTGGATGCTGGCCGAAACAGCTCTTCAATGACGTTGCTCCCGCAACCTGGGACCGGGCTGACTGGACTTTATCTTCTCTGAGGCCAGGGGCGGTCCCGGCCCCCAGGAGACCCGCCTCTCCTGGCCTTAAGGCGAGCACTCCTCCTGGGAGAAACCAGTTCCGTTCACCTCTCTGCCCTGAGCCTCTGCAGTTCAGGAGAGGCTGAAGGGTTACTGGACCCAGGGGGAGACTCTCCTGTAGGCACTGAGTCCTCAACCACCTCCCGAGCCAGAGTGGATTCACCTGGTGCCTGCTCCTGAGGATCCGGCACAGGTGCAGGCGCTTCAGAATCAAGGCCCTGCCCCAGCTCAGCCGGCCCTGGAGGCGGGGATTCCTGTGCAGGCTGGGATTCCTCCGGTTCAGCCTCTGAATCAGATTCCCAGGCCATCACATGGTGACAGCAGTCATGAAATTAAAAGACGCCTGCTTCTTGGGAGAAAAGCAATGACAAACCTAGACAGCATCTTAAAAAGTAGAGACATCACATTGCCAACAAAGGCCCATATAGTAAAAGCTATGGTTTTCCCAGTAGTGATGTATGGAAGTGAAAGCTGGACCATAAAGAAGGCTGATCGCCAAAGAATTGACGCTTTTGAATTATGGTGCTGGAGGAGACTCTTGAGAGTCCCATGGACTGCAAGAAGATCAAACCTATCCATTCTTAAGGAAATCAGCCCTGAGTGCTCACTGGAAGGACAGATCCTGAAGCTGAGGCTCCAATACTTTGGCCTCCTCATGAGAAGAGAAGACTCCCTGGAAAAGACCCTGATGTTGGGAAAGATGCCGGGCACAAGGAGAAGGGAACGCAGAGGATGAGATGGTTAGATAGTGTTCTCGAAGCTACCAGCATGAATTTGACTAAACTACGGGAGGCAGTGTGAAGCTAAACTATGGGAGGCAGTTCTCGAAGCTACAAACATGAGTCTGACCAAACTGCGGGAGGCAGTGGAAGACAGAAGTGCCTGGCGTGCTCTGGTCCATGGGGTCACAAAGAGTCGGACACGACTAAATAACTAAACAACAACAACGGGAGGCAGTGGAAGACAGGAGTGCCTGGCGTGCTCTCGGACAAGACTAAATGACTAAACAACAACAACAACAACGACATGAGAAAGTATGAAAGGAACATCTATACATGCTTGGCTGAATGCAGTCAGAAGCCATTACATGACTAGGATCCCTGTCTTGTCACTCAGTCTGAAGGTCAGTGTTCAAGTGAAGAAGGATTAAGTAATGAAGAAATGCTCTGTCCAATCAGAATCCCAGCTTGGAATGTGGCTTGTGCAGCTCTTCGTAGGACCTTGGGCTCAGAGACTCTTGACTCTATTTCTCTGTAAGTCCTATCAGGGGAAAGGCTCAGTGGTAGAACAACTGCTTTGCATGCTGAAGTTCCCTGGTTCAATCCCAGCCATCTCTAGATAAGGCTCAGAGAAAACCCCATCTTTAATTCTGTGCAGACCATGTGGAGCTAGCTGAATCAATGGTCTGATCTGATGTAAGGCAGCTTACTATGTTCCTAAAGTCAGATCCTGACAACAGGTTTCTGGAAAGAAATACAGGTTTTATTTGATCTTATGATAAGAAGCAAACCCTCAATGGCAACATTAAAAAGATGTTCAGTGATCAGAAACACTAGTCTGAAGCCAAATTTGACAGTCAACTGGTAAGCAATGGCCATATCCCAGGGTAGGGAGATCATACTTATCCTAAAGCATATTGCATCTAGATTGATTTGAAGCCATTTTGAAATGGAAAACGACAATAGATTTTGCAATTTTCGCCAGTGTTGATTTCCCCCCCAGAATCTTATGCTAGAAATGCAAGCTAAATATATCTCCCCTAGGAGTGATTACTTGTAAGTGGGTACCCGGACAATAGCCAATCACCAAGCCAGGGACCAGGAGCAAAGACTTAAGAAGGCCTCTTTGACAAATTTTACAATTAAAAACCCTTCCGGGAGACATCATCAGTTAATCATCTCCCATTCCTTACTTTGCTGTTGTGAGCACATAGATTCCCACTGAGGTTTGCACCTGAGTAAGAGCCAGCATGGAGACATCCATCTTAACTTGACTCTAAAGGTGTAAGAGGGGCCTTAGGCATATTGTTCTCTCTCAGCCTGGCTCCTTTGGCAAAATGGGAATAATAATTCCAAGGCTTTTGTAACAATTGCACAGAAAAAGGATGTGAAGTCCTGTAAATGATCTCTGACAGCTGCAATTCTAATATTATTTAGCCATTTAAAAATCAACTTGCCAACACCCATGATGTAAGAGAGATTTTTTTTTAAACACACACACACACAATCACCACCCTGAGACCCCCGGGCATAGGGTGGTATATAAATTCAAGCAACCAATCAATAAAATCACACTATAAAACGATTGTATATTACCTCCAGTTTGACCAACAACTGGAGTTAATATATACAATTGTTTTATAGTGTGATTTTTTATTTTTAAAGAAGCTCAAAATTTTATTTTAGCACATATTTATATATGTATGCTATCACAAGGAAGCCTAAATCTGTCCCATCTTTCTATATTAAGATGATTTATTTATTACATTTATATTCCACCTTTCTTCCAAGGAGCTGAATATGGTGTACATGGTTCTCCCCCTCCTTACGACAACCCTATACAGAGAGATGGTGATTGGCCCATGCTCAAATGGTAAGCTTCTTGGCTGAATAAGGGTTTGAACCCTGGTCTCTCAGGTCCTACAACAGCACTGCAACCATTACACAATGCTGTTTGATGGTGGTGGTGGTGATATTATTATTATATATCTATTTATACACTCTTTTTTCCTGACAGGAACTCAAGATGGCTTACAGACAATATTTCCTGTTTGTCTGACTTCTGGGACTGAAAACTTTCCCACCCCTGCCACAGATATATGTCTACTTAGGTCCAATGTTCCTGAGGTTGAACTCCTTAGCTTACAGATCTTACAGATTCTCTTCACAGCCCTGGAAGTCTTTCCCACCCCTGCCACAGATATGTGTCTGCTTAGGTCCAATGTTCCTGAGGTTGAACTCCTTAGCTTACAGATCTTACAGATTCTCTTCACAGCCCTGGAAGTCTCTTACACGTGTGGGCTGTAGAGCTAAAGCTGGAGAGAGAGAGAAAATGCAGTGATGTGAAGATTTTGATTACTTTTATGCACCAGCACTGGGACTTTATGGATTTCTTTGGTGGCTCGATCATTAGCATCAAGTTATGATTCCATCAGAATGCAAGGAACGGTTTAATGTAAACTGTCACTGCTGACACATTTATGCTCTAACTAACTTGGCATCACAATGTGATGGTAATTGCATGTTATGCTAATTACATTTTCTTCCTTTCTTTCTCTTTGCTAGTGCAAAGGGACCCCTTGTGCCGCCACTTATGACTGAACATGTGTTCATCAAGCAAACTTCATCAGCGTTATTGAAATGTGCAATATTTTTTATTACAGCTTCAGCTCACGGTCATAGAATGTGACAAGCGTAATGCCCAAGAGTAATCACCCTTCGAAGGATGTACTGTGCTTCGCTGTTTCCTTTTTTGTTTTGTTTTTTGTTTTTTTGTAAACTGATATTCTTCCATGTACTGCTCTGAAGCCAATGCAATGGTTCCAATGCTAGCAGAGTTCTGCAGGAACTTATGGCATAGTTTCATGGTTTAAGCAAATCATGTTATCTCCTTCATGGATCACTGCCTTGTCATGGCGAAGGGGCTTGAATAACCCAGAAAAGCCATAAGCTATGATGTGCAGGGCCACCCAAGATGGACAGGTCATAGTGGAGAGTTTTGACTAAACGTGATCCACCTGGAGCAGGAACCAGCAAGCCACTGCAGTATCCCTGCCAAGAAAACTCCATGGACAAGGACAACAGGCATATAAAAGTTATGATGCTGGAAGATGAGCCCCTCAGGTTGGAAGGCGTCCAACATGCTACTGAGGAAGAGCAGAGGACAAGTACAAGTAGATTCAGAGCTGATGAAGCGGCTGGGCCAAAGCCGAAAGGGCGGCCAGTTGCGGATATGCCTGGAAGCGAAAGGAAAGTCCAATGCTGCAAAGAAAAATATTGCAAAGGAACCTGGAATGTAAGAACCATGAACCTTGGTAAGCTGGATGTGGTCAAAAATGAGATGGCAAGAATAAATATTGACATCCTGGGCATCAGTGAACTAAAATGGACGGGAATGGGTGAATTCAGTTCGGATGACCATCACATCTACTACTGTGGGCAAGAATCCCGTAAAAGAAATGGAGTGGCCCTCATAGTCAACAAAAGAGTGGTGAAAGCTGTACTGGGATGCAATCTCAAATATGATAGAATGATCTTGATACGAATCCAAGGCAGACCTTTTAACATCACAGTAATCCAAGTTTATGCACCAACTACTGGTGCTGAAGAAACTGAAATTGACCAATTCTACAAAGACTTACAATACCTTCTACAAATGACACCAAAGAAGGATGTTCTTCTCATTATAGGGGATTGAAATGCTAAAGTAGGGAGTCAAGAGATAAAAGGAACAACTGGCAAGTTTGGCCTTGGAGTTCAAAACAAAACAGGGCAAAGGCTAATAGAGTTCTGTCAAGAGAACAAGCTGGTCATCACAAACACTCTTTTCCAACAACACAAGAGATGACTCTACACATGGACATCACCAGATGGGCAGCATCAAAATCAGACTGATTATATTCTCTACAGCCAAAGATAGAGAAGGTCTATAAAGTCAACAAAAACAATACCTGAAGCTGACTGTGGCTCAGATCATCAGCTTCTTATAGCAAAATTCAAGCTTAAACTGAAGAAAGTGGGGAAAACTACTGGGCCAGTAAGATACAATCTAAATCAAATCCCTTATGAATACACAGTGGAAGTGAGGAACAGGTTTAAGGATTTTGATTTGGTGCACAGAGTGCCTGAAGAACTATGGATGGAGGCTTATAACATTATACAGGAGGCAGCAATGAAAACAATCCCAATGAAAAGGAAATGCAAGAAAGCAAAGTGGCTGTCCAACGAGGCTTTACAAATAGCAGGGGAGAGAAGGCAGGCAAAATGCGAGGGAGATAGTGAAAGATACAGGAAATTGAATGCAGATTTCCAAAAACAGCAAGGAGAGACAAGAAGGCCTTCTTAAAGGAGCAATGCAAAGAAATAGAGGAAAACAACAGAAAGGGAAAAACCAGAGATCTGTTCAAGAAAATTGGAGATATGAAAGGAACATTTCGTACAAAGAATACCATAATAAAGGACAAAAGTGGAAAAGACCTAACAGAAGCAGAAGACATCAAGAAGAGAAGAGCAGTATGTGGACCGAGAAATCCCAGAAGTGCAAGCTGGATTTGGAAGAGGCAGAGGAACCAGAGACCAAATTGCAAACATGCGCTGGGTTATGGAGAAAGCTAGAGAGTTCCAGAAAGACATCTACTTCTGCTTCATTGACTACACAAAAGCCTTTGACTGTGTTGATCACAGCAAACTATGGCAAGTTCTTAAAGAAATGGGAGTGCCTGATCACCTCATCTGTCTCCTGAGAAATCTTTATGTGGGACAAGAAGCTACAGTTAGAACTGGATATGGAGCAACTGATTAATTCAAAATTGGAAAAGGAGTATGACAAGGCTGTATATTGTCTCCCTGCTTATTTAACTTATATGCAGAATTTATCATGCAAAAGGCTGGACTAGATGAACCCTAAGCCGCAATTAAGATTGCTGGAAGAAATATCAACAACCTCAGATATGCAGATGACACAACTTTGATGGCAGAAAGTGAGGAGGAATTAAAGAACCTTTTAATGAGGGTGAAAGAAGAGAGAGCAAAATATGGTCTGAAGCTCAACATTAAAAAAACTAAGATCATGGCCACTGGTCCCATCACCTCCTGGCAAATAGAAGGGGAAGAAATGGAGGCAGTGAGATATTTTACTTTCTTGGGTTCCATGATCACTGCAGATGGTGACAGCAGTCGTGAAATTAAAAGACTCCTGCTTCTTGGGAGAAAAGCAATGACAAACCTAGACAGCATCTTAAAAAGCAGAGACATCACTTTGCCGACAAAGGTCTGTATAGTTAAAGCTATGGTTTTCCCAGTAGTGATGTATGGAAGTGAGAGCTGGACAATAAAGAGGGCTGATCACCGAAGAATTGATGCTTTTGAATTATGGTGCTGGAGGAGACTCTTGAAAGTCCCATGGACTGCAAGACGATCAAACCTATCCATTTTGAAGGAAATCAGCCCTGAGTGCTCACTGGAAGGACAGATCCTGAAGCTGAGGCTCCAATACTTTGGCCACCTCATGAGAAGAGAAGACTCCCTGGAAAAGACCCTGATGTTGAGAAAGATTGAGGGCACAAGGAGAAGGGGACGACAGAGGACGAGATGGTTGGACAGTGTTCTCGAAGCTACTA